ACCCACGGGCTCAGGCAATCCACTCACCTCAGCCTCCCAAAGGCACGGGATTACAGGCTGAGCCACCGAGCCCACCTCCAGGCGTTCTTGAGTTAGCTGCCTTTCCCTTGTCCATTCAGCTGTGGGGAGCAGGTCACAGTGTAAAAGTATGGTCTTGAGTGGGCAGGGGTCCTAAGGTTTGCAATGTCAGCTCCGCTGACAATCAGAGATGACTTCCTGGAGAAGGCAGGGCTCTGGGAACAGTTTGGAGTGTGGGTGAAGAGGGAGAAGTAAACAGAACTGAGGATGAGGCTGTCAGAAGTGGATTCTGCGAGGGTCTGGAGGTGGGCATGGCCAGTGTGGGGCCTGGAGCAGCAGGGACACTGGTGGAGGAGGTGGCATCTTACCAGCTTTGTCTCCAACTCCAGGACTGCAGGATGATGAGGACCTCCAGGCCCTGCTAAAGGGCAGCCAGCTTCTGAAGGTGAAGTCCAGTTCATGGCGGAGAGAGCGCTTCTACAAGTTGCAGGAGGACTGCAAGACCATCTGGCAGGAGTCCCGCAAGGTCATGCGAAACCCGGAGTCCCAGTTGTGTGAGTGCCTGGGGCTGTGGGAGAGTGTAGAACCTGGTCTGACTGGGGTAAGACCCTCATGGACTAAGACCATAGGTGGGGAGACTGAGGCCTGGTCTGTCATAGGTCATTCATGCAACCAGGGCCAGAAATGAGGAAACTAATGCTGGCTGGGGTCGAGGAGAGGAGCCAGTGAAATCACCTGTAGGGAAATGGAGGCCTCCTCTGGGTCAGAGAGGGCAGTCATGGAACGAGGCCCACAGATGGGGATAGCCAGGCGCAGAAGCAGGGAGGGAGCTGGACAGTATTGCCTGATGAATTCGCAGGTATCCGCCCAGGCAGTTGTGGAAGGAAACTGGGTGGATTATGTGGTGAGGGCAAAAGCCAGGCCCAAAGTCTGGAGGCAGATAAGGTACTTCCGGGTATTAGTGGTCAAGGTGTGAGGTGGGGCCATAAGAGGCAGCTCCTCCCTGAGATTGGAGCCACAGGAGGGATGTTGGGGCAGAACAGGATAGGGACACATGGAGAGAGACCACTGAGGTGTTTTCTCGAGGGTATGGGTCTGAGGGCTTTTTGGAAGATTCCCTAAAGACCTAGGAACCCAAGGCTCGGGCAGCAAATGGAGAATGCCTTCTGCAAGGTCTTAGGGAGGCAAAAGTTCTGCTAACTTCTACATTTTTAATGCAAATATTCCCTAGAGATTCTGTAAAGTGAGATGTTCCCCTCTATGCCTTTATTTGGTGGGAACATTTTAGACCTCTAGAACATTCTGCCATGATGGAAAACTTCTATGTCTGCACTATCCCAGATGGGATCCATCAGCCACCTCTACTGAGCCCTTAAAATATGGCCATTGTGATGACTGAACAGAATTTTTAATTATATTTAATTCTAACAAATGTATATTTAAATAGCCCCAGGTGGCTAGGCGACTCCTGAATTGTACAGTACACATAGATCATTGCAGCCTGGATTTCACACAGCCCAGATCCCTGAAAGTCCCTCACCCATTCACCCTCTCTTGGCTGGGGTGTGGGTGGGGAGACAGGGTCAGCCTACTGGCAGGTCTGTAGGGAGTGAGGCCAGACACAGGTAGGGGAGAATGGGAGGAAGGGGAGATTCAGCCCACTGAAGGTGCACCACAGGGTGCTTTTCAGCCAGGAAGCATCTGTAAGATCTCAGGGCACTGGACAGGAACGTGAGAGCCTATGGCCTGTGGAGGGACCAGAACCAAGGCAGGATGGGAGCAGGTCAGATGGTGAGAGCCCGGCTGGGTCCTAGGGGTTGTGAGCCGTGGGAGGTTTCTGAACAGGCAGGGCAGGGTCTGAGGGGTGGGGGCTCTAAAGTGTTCTCAGAAAACCACCCGGAGCCTGTGTCTACCCCAACCCAGCCTGCTGCCATGCAGGCAGAAGTGACCTCCTGACCTCGCCTCTGTCTGTGGCGCCAGACTCCTTCAGAGGGCTCCTGTCCTGATACAGGGCTTCCTGTTAGATGCTGGTGAATGGGGGCCCAGTGGGAATGGGGCTCTTGCACTCTGAGCCCTGAGGATTCCTTGAAGCCCACCCATCTGCCACTATACATGCATGGCTCCCGGTGTGTGCATAGTTCTTAGGGGAGCGGGGGGCACATAGAGGAGCAGGAGCCTTTCCAGCAGGAACCCCCTTTTGGGCTGGCAAGATGAGAGAGCCTTGTACTAGGACAGCTGTGAGCAAAAGGACAGGAACAGCATTGCAGGCGGCTCAATTGAGCCACAGGGAAGAGCGAGGATGGGGAGGGGGCGTGGGTGGCAGTTTGGGGGACTGTAGCCTGCGAAGAGGGGCTGCAGGGGTGCCGGGATCAAGGTCAGGGAGCCAGGGGCGCTCAGTAAGGTCTGAAGCGGCTTTCTGCTGGGTCAGACACTTGAGGCAGGTCTCGTGCTGAGCACGCCTGTTGGCTGCCTCCCTTTCCTGGGTGAGCAGTGAGGCTGTTGTGCTCAACTATCTACCCTAGGGGAAACTGAGGCCAGGTGAGGGAGGAGCAGAGCCATCCCCCTGTTCCCAGTTCTCTTTGGCTCTGCCTCCTGCTTTCTAAGTCTGCCCCTGGCCTGCCACCACCACCCACCCCCACGATGCTGCTTCCCAGAGGCAAAGTATTATCAACTGTGAAGGCATCTGGACTTTCTCTCCCAGGTGGGTGGGGATGGCAGCCCTGGGGGGTTCCGTGGCTCAGGCTTCCTGTTTTTGTTCCTGGTCTGGAGCAGCTGCAGCTGTACCTAGCATGGGGGCCCAGTGGGGCGCCAGAGGCTATGGGCTGAGGGATTAGGCAGGGATATCCTCTGCACCCCAGATGGCCCAGGGCTCACGTGTCCCACTCCTCAGAGCCTGCAGCCCTGGCTGGGCATGTGCCACACACGTGGGCCCTGCAGGTGGCTGGGAGGCCCCTGGGCACTCAGGGTGGTGGTGGGGTAGGGAGGCACAGGGAGGGACAGGTGGACTTTCAGCCAGAGCTGGTCTAGGACCCAGGACAGATGGATGAGGATGGTTCCAGATGGGGGTGGAGCAGGGCCAGAGCCTGGATCCTGCTGCTGGGAGGCACAGCATGAGCCTGGTCAGAGGGACTGGCTCCCACCCAGACCACAAAGCGTACATTGGGACGGGGGATAGATGGGCACTTGCCTTTCCCTGGAGCTTGGAGTACAGGGCTGTGATGGGAGGGCCCTCCCCCTGGTTCCTAGGGACAGAATGGTTTATTCTCTCAGACCCCTGAGGGGCATGCTCTAATTTACCCTGGAAGGCAGAGCCTTCCAACACCACCTGACAAGGGGCTTCCTGAAGTCAGGACACATATAAGCCTTGTGTATCTCTAACATAGCACTTATCCCTTTGTCTTTTATCCTCTGCCCCTAGACCCCAGGGCCAGGACTTACCAAGGGTGGCTCCAGTCTCCTGAATTGTCAGGAGCGGGGCCTGGAGGCTCTTGTATCTGTGGTTGCAAGGAGGACAGGCCCAAAGTCCAGTCAGGAGAGCATGTAGCCCCTCTCTGCCATGGGCCCCACACTCCAGAGTGGTCTGTCCCCACCCCTGTCTAAGAGCCTACCTTGCCCCAGTCCTCTCCCTGGTGCCCTGCTCCCTCCATCACTGAGATAGTGGGCCTGTGGTCCCAGGTGCCTTCTCACCCTAAAGTCTGTTTCTGTCTCTCTCTGTCTTGCCCTGTATGTGTCCGCCCTGCCCTCTCTGACTGTGTCTCATGCTCTGTCTCCCCCTCAGTCTCTGTCTTCCATCCTCCTTTTGTCCCTCTTTTCTGACCTCTTGCCCCTCTCCTTTCTCTCTGGACTCCAGGCCTGAGCTCCAGTTCTGGCTCTGTCTCTGAGCTCTGCCCCCTCCACTGTGGCCTTGGCCATGTCAGGGACAAAGATTGGCCTCACAGTATTCTTTCCCCCCGCTTCCCCACTGCCCCCTCTTGCAGTCTCCATTGAAGACATTCAGGAAGTGCGAATGGGGCACCGCACAGAGGGCCTGGAGAAGTTTGCCCGTGATGTGCCTGAGAACCGCTGCTTCTCCATTGTCTTCAAGGACCAGCGCAATACACTGGACCTCATTGCCCCATCGCCAGCTGACGCCCAGCACTGGGTGCAGGGTCTGCGCAAAATCATCCACCACTCGGGCTCCATGGACCGACAGCAGAAGCTGCAGCAGTATCCTTTTGGTGGCGGTGGGTCCAGGCTCCAGGTTTGGCCTGTGGACACTGGCTATGTGTTCCCAGGGCAACCTGGGAATGGAAGGGAGCTTAGTCAGTTTGGGCTTCCATAACAAAATACCATAGACAAAATATCACCACCACCTCTGGGTGGCTTAAACAACAGAAATTTAATTGCTTATGGTTCTGGAGACCAGAAGTCCTAGATCAGCATGTCAGCAGGGTCAGAACCTGGTGAGGGCTCTTTCCCTTCCTTGCAGAAGGTTGCTTTCTTGCCGTGTCCTTACATGGTAGGGAGAGGGAGACAGAACAAGCTCTCTGGTGTCTCTTCTCATAAGGGTCCTAATCCCATCATGAGGGCCCCACCCTCATGACCTCCTCTAAACCAAAGTATCTCCCAAAGGCCCTGTCTCTAAATATCATCATATTGGGGGTTAAAGCTTCGAAATACAAATTTGGGGTGGGGGGGACACAGCTTAGAAAGGAAGCAGGGAAGGTGCATGGAGCTCTCTTTAGTCTAGTCTGACCCAAGGCCAGCCAGCTCTACAGCCCCCTGATACTCCCTGTGCCCTGCTCCGTAACCAGCATGCAACTGGAAAACTGGGGAGACTGAGAAGAGCAGCCTGCTTAGTCTTGGATGTTTTAATCAAGTTTAGAGTTACTAAACTTTTTCCCTCTGGGAATTAGGAGGCCATGGTACCCTTCTGGGCCATTCTTTGGGGAGTGATCAAGTCCCCCTGGGCCTGGTGTACAGGCAAACCTGTGGGCTTAAAACAAATTAACAACCGGGCTCAGTGGCTCAGCCTGTAATCCCAGAGCTTTGGGAGGCTGAGGTGAGTGGATTGCCTGAGCCCTCAGGTTCGAGACCCGCCTGGGCAACTTGGCGAGACCTCATCTCTACAATAAATCAAAAATCAGCCGGGCATGGTAGCACGCACCTGTAGTTCCAGCTACTTGGAAGGCTGAGGCAGAAGGATCGCCGGAACCCAGCAGGTTGAGGCTGCGGTGGCCAGGAGCGCCCACTGCACTCCAGTCTGGGCGACTGAGTGAGACTCCAACTCAAAAAACAAACAAACAAACAACAACAGAAAAAAAAACAAATTAACTTCAAAATCTAGTTGCACAACGACACACTAGTCCATAATTCAAAGTGGTTGGGCCTCTGGCAGGTATGGCCTAGGTGGAGCCAGCTTTAGCTCCTTTTTTATGACAGCTTTATTGAGATATAATTCATATGCTGTGGGATTAACCCATTGAAGGTGTGGGACCCGATTCAGTGCTTTTTAGAATATTCACAGGTTTGTGCAACCATTACCACAATTAATTTGAGGAACTTTCATCACCCCAAAAAGAAACCCTGTGCTCTTCAGCAGTCACTCCTCATTTCCCCTTAATCCCCAACCCTAGACAACCACTAATCTACTTTCTGCCTCTGTCCATTTGCCTGTTCTGGACATGTTATATCAATGGAATCACGCAGTCTTTTGTGACTGGCTTCTTTCACTTAGCGTAATGTTCGTAACATTCAGCCATGTTGTAGCCTGTGTCAGTACTTCATTCCTTCTAATTGCCTAATAAGATTCCCTTGTATAGATGTGCCACATTTTATTTATCTGTTCACCAGTTGATGGACATTTAGGTTGTTTTCACTCCGAAGCGCTTATGAATAATGCTGCTGTGAACATTCGTGTTTAAGTTTTTGTGGACTTATGTTTTCATTTTTCCTGGGTAGATATCTATTGCTGCATCATAGGGTAACCCTCTGTTTAACCTCTGGGGAGTTGTCAAACTGTTCTCTGAAGAGTCTACACCGATTTACATTTTCACCAGCAGTATATGAAGGTTTTAGTTTTTCACCCATCTTTGACAACACTTATTACTAGCTGTCTTTTTTATTATAAATACCCTTGTGGATATGAAGTGCTATCTCATTGTGGCTTTGAATTGCTTTTCCTTGCTCTGCAGCCCCCTGATGTTGAACCTGTTTACATGTGTGTGTTGACCATTTGTATATCTTCTTTGGAAAATAATGTATTCAGATCTTTTGCCCATTTTTTGTTGTCATTGTTAAGCTCTTTCTTAATGAATCTGTTTATTTTTATTTTTAATTGTGATAAAATGTATATAACTTAATTTTATCATCTTCACCATTTTTAAGCATACAGCTCAGTTGTGTTGAGTACATTCACATTGTGTAACCAATCTCCTGATCTCTTTTCATCTTGCAAACCTGAAACTGACTATTAAACAACAGTTTCTCATTCTTCCCTTCCCTATCCCTGGCAACATCTGTTATACTTTCTATCTATATTAATTTGACTACTGTAGATACCTCATATAAGTTGAGTCATATAGTATTTATCTTTTTATGACTGGCTTATTTCATGTAACATCATGTCTTCAAGTCGAGTCATAGAGTATTTGTCTTTTTGTGACTGGCTTATTTCACGTAACATAATGTCTTCAAGTTTCACCCATGTTGTAGTATGTGTCAGAATCTCATTCCTTTTTAAGGCTGAATCACATTCCACTCTGTGAATATGCCACATTTTGTTTATCCATTCATCCACTGATGAACACGTGGGCTAATCATCATGGATTAACCCTGTGTATAGCACTGCTATGAGCATGAGTACACAAATATCTCTTTGAGACCTTCTTTCAGTTCTTTTGGGGCCATATCCAGAAATGGCATTGCTGGCTCACATGGTAATTCTATTTTCAGATTTTTGAGGAACCACCATACTGTTTTTCACAGCAGCTGTACCATTTTACGTGATCACCAACAGTGCACAAAGGTTCCAATTGGTCTATAACATTGCCAACACTCGTTAACAAGATAAAAACTTGTTATTTTCTATTTGTTCTATTTTCTATTTCATCCTCATAAGTATGAAATAGTATGTCATTATGGTTTTGATTTGCATTTTCCTAATGATTAGTTGAGCATTTTTTCATGTGCTTTTGTATCTCTTTGGAGACATTTCAGATCCTCTGCCCATTTTTGATGGATTTAAATCTTTTTATTATTGAGTTGTAAGAGCTCTTTATATCCTAGACAAAAGTCTCTTATGAGATACATGTTTTGCAAATAATTTCTCCAGTCTGTGTAATCTCTTTTCTCTCACTTGATGGTATTCTTTGAAGCATAAAAGTTTTAGTTTTGATGAAGTCTTATTCATATATTTTTTTTCTTTTGTTGTTTGTGCTTTCTGGTATCATATCTAAGAAGGCTTTGTCTAATCCCAAGGTCATGAACATTTACTCTAATATTTTCTTCTTGAGTTTTGGTTTTATAGTTTAACTCTTACATGTAATTCTCTGAACCATTATAAGTTAATTTTTGTGTATGGGATGAAATAGGGTTTTCAATTTTTTGAGGGTATGAAAATATGCAGTTGTTCTAGCACCATCTGTTGAAAAGACTATCCTTTCTCCCACTGAATTGTCTTGGTACTCTTGTCAAAAGTCAATTGACCACAAATGTGAGGGTTTATTCTGAACTCTCAGTTTTATTCCATTTGTCTATAATTTTATTCCCTGTCTGTCCTTGTATTACTACTACCATGTTTTGGTTACTGGAACTTTGTAGTAATTTTTTAGGGGTTGGGAGCTTGAGGTCTCACTCTGTTGCCCAGACTGGAGTGCATGATCATGGCTCACTGCAGCCTTGACCTCTTGGGCTCAGGTGATCCCCTCTGCCTTAGCCTTTTGAGTACTTGGGACTACAGGTGAGTGCCACCACACCCAGATAATTTTTTTTTCTTTTGCAGAGACAAGGTCTTGCTACATTGCCCAGGTTGGTCTCAAATTCCTGGGCTCAAGCAATCCTCTCACCTTGGTGTCCCAAAGTGCTGTGATGACAGGCATGAGCCACTGCAGCACTTACACCTACTAAGTTTTGAAACCAGGAAGTACGAGTTCTCTGATTTTTTGTTGTTGTTGAAATTGTTTGATTATTTGGGGTCCCTTGAATTTCCATATGAATTTTAAAATAACCTTGGCAGTTTCTGCAAAGAAGTCAGCAGGCATTTGATAGAGATTGTGTTGAATCTACAGATCAATTTGGAGAGTATTCCCAATATAGTAATATCAACTCTTCTGAAACATGAACATGGGCTGCCATTCTGTTTATTTGTTTTTTTGTTTTTTTGTTTGTTTGTTTGTTTTGAGTTGGAGTCTCACTCTGTCGCCCAGACTGGAGTGCAGTGGCCGCTCCCGGCCACCGCAGCCTCGACCTGCTGGGCTCTGGCGATCCTTCCGCCTCAGCCTTCCAAGTAACCGGAATTACAGGCACGCGATACCACGCCCAGCTGATTTTTTGATTTATTGTAGAGATGAGGTCTCACTGCCCAGGCGGGTCTCGAACCCGCGGGCTCAGGCAATCCACTCACCTCAGCCTCCCAAGGGTGCGGGATTACAGGCTGAACCACCAAGCCCAGCTCATTCTGTTTATTTGTATCTTTCATTTCTCCCAACAACATTTTGTGGCTCTCAGAGTATACGTTTTATACTTAAAAATGTATTCCAAAGCATTTTAAATAAAATCGCTTTCTTTTTTCTTTTTCTTTTTTCCACCCCTGGTGACTGAGTCTTGCAGTGACCTGATCATAGCTCACCTCAAACGCCTAGGCTCAAGTGATCCTCCTCCCTCAGCCTCCTGAGTAGCTGGGACTACAAGTACACACCACCATGCATGACTGATTTTTGTACTTTAAACAAAATTTTTTTTTTTTTTAGCAATAAGGTCTTGCTTTGTTGCCCAGGCTGGTCTTGAACTTCTGAGCTTAAGTGATCTTCCCACCTCAGCCTCCCAAGAATTTAGGACTATAGGCAAATCCTACCACACCCAGTTTGAAATTGTTTTCTTAATTTCACTTTCTAAAGTTTGGACCTCACTTTGGTCTCCATGTCATCTGACTTGAGATCAGGTACTCTTATTGATGAAGTGTTTCCTCCCACCCCCCGCTCCCTCCCCTGGCACTTTTCCACTACTGCCAATCCCTTTCTTATAGTATTATAATTGCTCAGTGTCTGCTTATGAGTGAGAACATGTAGTACTCAGTTCTTTGTTTCTGAATTTCACTTTCTTTTTTTTTTTTTGAGTTGGAGTCTCACTCCGTCGCCCAGGCTGGAGTGCAGTGACACGCTCCCAGCCACAGCAGCCTCGACCTACTGGGCTTAGGCAATCCTTCCGCCTCAGCCTTCCAAGTAGCGGGAACTACAGGCGCATGCTACCATGCCTGACTACTTTTTATTTATTTATTGTGGAGACAAGGTCTTGTCAAGTTGCCCAGGCGGGTCTCGAACCCTCGGGCTCAGGCAATCCACTTGCCTTGGCCTCCCAAAGTGCTGGGATTACAGGCTGAGCCACTGAGCCCGGCCTGAATTTCACTTTCAAATTGCTCATTGCTATTATATATCCAGCTCCTTCGGGGGGTCACGTTTTGAGCCCTGTTAATTTCCTTTTCTGTGTGCTTTTGAGCATTTGAAAGACCTCTAAGTGTTATTTCTCAAGGCTACATCGGCCAGATCTTGAGCCTTCTTAAAAGTCCAATTCTACAGCACTTCTGTCATAGTCACCCATTTTGCACAGCCTTGTCCTTGAAGCATCTTGTGTCCCTTACAGGGTCCTTCTGCCCAGACCTTGAGATAATCAAGCAGTTCCACCTGTTGAACAGTCTTCAACACCAGAAACTTGTGCTTGGCTGGACTGCTCTGAACTTTTTTTTTTGAGTTGGAGTCTCACTCTGTCGCTCAGGCTGGAGTACAGTGGCATACTCACAGCCACCCCAGTGTTGACCTGCTGGGCTCTGGCAATCCTTTCGCCCTCAGCTTTCCAAGTAGCTGGAACTACAGGCATTTACTACCATGCCTGGCTAATGAACTTGTTTTTTTCTCCTGACTTTGCCATAGTTTTACACACACACACACAATTTGGAGAATAAGTATATGTTATAATGAAGTCTTAAAGACCCACAGAACCCACGTCTTCCAGAAACTGCTGATATTTGCATTCTCCTCCTAATCTTTTGTCTGCATTTCACTTTGACACATTTGCCAAAAATAGCGGTGATCATACATCTGTAATCTATTTTCTGTGTAACACAGTCTCATCATTATTTTCCTGTTAGTGTACTCTCCATAAAAAGCTTCAATAACTGTATGATGTTCCACAGAGAAGATGTACTATAAATTAGTGACCTGTTCCTTTAGTGTTGAACATTTATGTTTAGTCTCTCACTACCATACACAACACTGCAAATAACTACAGGCTTGGCATTCCTAATCGCCAAGTTCAAAATCCAAACTCCAGAATTTTGTGAACACTAACATGATGCCACATGTGGAACATTGTACACCCGACCTCCCGTGACAGGTTGCAGTCAAACCTGTCGCACACAAAAGTATGATGTGTTTCATGCACAAAACGGCTAAAATTATTGTATAAGACCAAGTGTTATGGCTTATACCTGTAATCCCAACACTTTAGGAGGTCAAAGTGGGGGAGGATTTCTTGAGGCCAAGGGTTTGAAATCAGCCTGGGCAAAGTAGCGAGACTGTCTTTATTTTTTTTTTAAATGTTTTCATTAGCTAGGCATGGTATCATGATGTGTACTTATAGTCCTAGCTACTTGAGAGTCTGAGGCAGGGTGATCTCTTGAGCCCAGGAATTCAATGCTGCAGTGAGCTACTCCAGCCTGGACAAAAAAGCAAGACCCTGTCTCTAAAAAATAAAAATAAAAAATTTGAAAGTTTTCAAAATCAGCAAATAAAGACCCCCTAATAGGATGTGACATTTTCCTCCTGAGAGGCCACCAAGTCTTGTGCCTGAAATGTGGATACGCAGTTAAGTCAGGCCTGCCGGGAGTGTCTGCAGGTGGCTTCAAACCATGGCTCTGGCTGGGACCTTGGTGGGTTCCAGGGCACCTGGCTTCTTTCCTTATGTCTTACCCAGCTGGATTCACTCCTGCTTACGAAAAGCTGACAAAAACAAGGACAACAAGATGAGCTTCAAGGAGCTGCAGAACTTCCTGAAGGAACTCAACATTCAGGTGGATGACAGCTACGCCCGGAAGATCTTCAGGGTGAGGCAGGAAGTTGGGGCTGGGTGTGCATGTCAGTGGGGTCCTTAACCCTGGCCCAAGGCCTGCTCTGAGCCCTGCCCACCCGGCTGTCCTGGCTTTGCAGGAGTGTGACCGCTCCCAGACAGACTCCCTGGAGGACGAGGAGATTGAGGCCTTCTACAAGATGCTGACCCATCGGGAGGAGATTGACTGCACCTTCGCTGAGGCTGTAGGCTCAGGGGAGACGCTGTCGGTGGATCAGTTAGTGACATTCCTGCAGCACCAGCAGCGGGAGGAGGCGGCAGGGCCTGCACTGGCCCTCTCCCTCATTGAGCGCTATGAGCCCAGCGAGACTGGTGAGGGCCTGGCACCTGCAGTCCCAGGGCTACACTGGCCTGGGAGACCCCTAAGGAGATTGCAGCCAGAGAGAAGGGAGCTGGAGGGGAAGGGCTGCCTCAGCCGGACCAGGGCTCTGGTCAGCACTTGCTTGACCCATGAAAGCAGATGGATGGGAGACAGGGCTCCAACATCCCTGTCTTCTCAGTTTCTCTCTTGGCTCCTCTTTCAGGGAGGAGGACCCCCCTCCCCAAGAAACAGAGAGAGAGGCCAGGCATGGTGGTTCATGCCTATAATTCCAGCACTTTGGGAGGCTAGGGCAGGAGGAGTGCATGAACCTAGGAGTTCAACACCAGCCTGGGCAACATAGTGAGATGTTGTCTCTACAAATCATCAAAAAATAAGCTGGGCATGGTGACACATGCCTGGAGTCCTAGATATTTGGGAGGAGAAAGAGAGAGAGAGAGAGAGAGGGAGGAAGGGAGAGAGAGAGAGAACAGAGACGTGACAGAGCAAAGAAGATGGGGTCCTGCTCTGGAGAGGGCTCCAGCCTAGGGGCACAGAGGAGATGGCCCTGCTCTCAGGAGCCCCAGGGTGTGCATACGGGAGGAGGAGGAGGAGGAAACAGGAACCCTTTCCTGGGTAGCCACAGTCTGGTTGGGAAACGCGGTCTTATCCTGCTTCCGAGAGCTATGGAGGACCAGCTCCAGCCAGGCGGGCAGGGGAATGGAGGCTGCTCCTTCCAGAGCAGTGAGCAGCCAGGAAGGGCCTGTTGGCCACCAGCTCTGATTGACAATGACCTCCCCCCCAGCCAAGGCACAGCGGCAGATGACCAAGGACGGCTTCCTCATGTACCTGCTGTCGGCTGACGGCAGTGCCTTCAGCCTGGCACACCAGCGGGTCTACCAGGACATGGGCCAGCCGCTCAGCCACTACCTGGTGTCCTCTTCACACAACACCTACCTGCTGGAAGACCAGCTCAGAGGGCCCAGCAGCACTGAAGCCTACATCCGGTGCTGTGCAGGGAGGCCTGGGGCCGGTGTCTGGGTGGGACCTAGGATGAGACCTGGAGGGTCCTAGCTGCCGCCCCTTCCCGCAGGGCTCTGTGCAAAGGCTGCCGCTGCCTGGAACTCGACTGCTGGGACGGACCTAACCAGGAGCCCATCATCTACCACGGCTACACTTTCACTTCCAAGATCCTCTTCTGTGACGTGCTCAGAGCCATCCGGGACTACGCATTCAAGGTGGGCGTGCTCCCAGCGGGGTGAGGAGCGGGATGCCAGGGGCAGCCAACTGTTCCTAACGTGTCCTTGGGCCTCCAGGCATCCCTCTACCCCGTCATCCTGTCCCTGGAGAACCACTGCAGCCTAGAGCAGCAGCGCGTGATGGCGCGACACCTGCGGGCCATCCTGGGCCCCATGCTGTTAGACCGGCCCCTGGACGGGGTCACCGCCAGCCTGCCCTCCCCGGAGGTACATGGTGGGGTTGGGGGTGCCCAGAGGAGAGGGAGGCCAGGTGGGTCTTGATCAGGCACCCTCCATCCCTAGCAACTGAAGGGCAAGATCCTGTTGAAGGGGAAGAAGCTCGGGGGGCTCCTACCCCCTGGAGGGGAAGTCAGCCCTGAGGCTGTTGTCGTGTCAGATGAAGATGAGGCTGCTGAGATGGAGGACGAGGCCGTGAGGAGCCGGGTGCAGCACAAGTCCAAGGTTCGAGGGGGAGCTGCGGGGCGGGGTAGCCCGGGCCCTTCCCCGTGTCCCACCCCCCGGGATGTCTGCCTGTCTCGGTTCTCTGTGGCTGCCACTCAGACCCTCTGCCCCCTCTCTCTGTGTCTGTCTCCCTCTCTCTGTGTCTGGGTCTCTGGCTTTCTCAGTGCCTACCCTGCCCCAACCACTGAATCTAACCCGGGCCTCCCCGTGGCCCCCAGGAGGACAAGCTCAGGCTAGCACAGGAGCTCTCTGACATGGTCATTTACTGCAAGAGTGTCCACTTTGGGGGCTTCTCCAGTCCTGGAACCCCCGGGCAGGCTTTCTACGAGATGGTGTCCTTCTCCGAGAATCGTGCCCTTCGACTGCTCCAAGAATCAGGTGAGCTCCTGTCCAGCAGTGGGAGGGTGCTGGCCATCCGTGTGACTGTCTGTGCTGGCCAGGCCAGGCCTGGCTGTAAACCCTCAGAACCCACATTGGGGATTCCCTGCACTGCTGCTGGACAGAACTGGCAGGGAAGGGGCTCGGGCCTCACCAGGAGGCCTCCCCTCCTGACCAGACCACACCTCCCTCAGGAAGCAGCTTTGTCCGCCACAATGTGGGTCATCTGAGCAGGATCTACCCGGCTGGGTGGAGAACGGACTCCTCCAACTATAGCCCCGTGGAGATGTGGAACGGGGGCTGCCAGATTGGTACGGGCCGGCCAGAGCTGTGGGAGGCCTGGAGGAGGGGTCCAGTCCTGAGTTCAGGGGCCTGGACCCTTGAAGGCCAGGCATGGAGGTCTGAGGACCCAAGCGGGGTCAGATGTAGGGGCGTGTAGTGCTGGTAACCTCAGTTTGGAAATATCTCCCCATCAGCAAGTCACAGTGTCAGAAATGTCATTAGCACATTAGCTCTTTGAATTCTGACACCAGAAGTAGAAAGTGTGGTTAGGGTGGTGGGTCACTGAGGGTGGCGGGAGGGCAGTGGGCATTGGGGTGATGCTGGCCCCTGCTTCTGACTCACCATGGGACCCTAGGCCTCAGGGTACCCTGAGCAGGCTGGGCTCGAGGGCCCTGAGGCCCACCCACAGCCTGTGACTGCTCTGTCCTGCCTGTAGTGGCTCTGAACTTCCAGACACCTGGGCCAGAGATGGACGTGTACCAGGGCCGCTTCCAGGACAATGGGGCCTGTGGGTACGTGCTGAAGCCTGCCTTCCTGAGAGACCCCAACTCCACCTTCAACTCCCGTGCCCTGGCCCAGGGACCCTGGTGGGCTCGGAAGCGGCTCAACGTCAGGGTACGGCCAGACCCAGGAGGGACAGGCACTCGTGGGCCTCCCTTCCCCCTCCCCATTATTGCTCCTGAGCCCTTACTTGTCCCCTGCCTTCCCTCAGGTCATCTCGGGCCAGCAGCTGCCCAAAGTCAACAAGAATAAGAACTCAATTGTGGACCCCAAGGTGACGGTGGAGATTCACGGGGTGAGCCGGGACATGGCCAGCCGCCAGACGGCTGTCGTCACCAACAATGGTATGTGCTGGACCCAGGCTGCACCCAGCCCCTGAACTTGCATCCATGCCATTGATATGGTGCCTATCCCCCTAGGTTTCAACCCGCGGTGGGACACGGAGTTTGAGTTTGAGGTAGTTGTGCCTGATCTCGCCCTGGTCCGCTTCGTGGTGGAGGACTACGACGCTTCCTCTAAAAATGACTTCATTGGTCAGAGTACTATCCCCTTGAACAGCCTCAAGCAGGGTGAGCTCTGTCGTGGGCAGGGGACGGCCAGGGTGGGGGTGGCAGGGCCTGGCATCTCCCAGGCTGGTCCCTGAGTGACTGGAACTCTCTCTGCGTGCTCCTTCCTGCCAGGATACCGCCACGTCCACCTCTTGTCTAAGAATGGAGACCAGCACCCATCAGCCTCCCTCTTTGTGAAGATCTCCCTGCAGGACTAGGCTAGGGGAGCCCAGTGGGGTCCCGGCCCCCTATGCACACCTGGGAGCAAGGCTGGTGTGGCTACTCCCGGCCTCTCGCTCAGAGCTAGAGGCCCCTGAACTGCCTTCTGCTCTAACATAGTGTCTGCTGCTGCTGTTCTGGGGGCCAGGCGCTGGCCCAGTCCCTGGAGCTATCCTCAATTCCGTTAGGAACAACACTGCAGCCCTCTCCGCCCTCTGGCCGGCCCTTGGTCAAGGGTTTTTATAAAAATCACAATAAGTTAAGCCCTGTGTCCTTTTTACCTGTATGCCAGAAAATCCCTTATGAAGGGTGTGTGTCCATGTATGTCCCAGAGCCCCAGCACCTATGTAACTTCCCCATATACATGCTTGAATGGGGTGGAGAGACCAGTGAGAAACAGATTCCTCCACGGATGGGGGTTGTACGGAGAGCTCAGTCCTTCTTGGGAGCCCTCCAGCCCTGGAGGCCCCTTCCCCTGAGAGGTGGACCCGTTGAGTGACCCAAGCTTGAAGGCACACATACTTCACCTCGTGCGGGCTGCCCGCTTTTACTGACAAGGGGGCTTTTACTGACAAGGTGACCCAGAAGCCTCCAAGGGGGGTGTGAGCAGAGTCTCCCAGGGGCACAGGTAAGCGAGGGGTGGAGACGGGAAGGGGAGGGCCGGGTTCAGAAGAAGCCCAGCTGCTTTTTCTCCTGCTGCTGCCTCCACTTGGCCATGCTGTAGAAGTCCTCCTTGGATTTCCCAAAGATGTCTTGGAAGTCAGAGTCTGAGAGATAGAACTGTGGGGGTGGAGAGGGAGTCGGTACAGGGGAGGGGTGTCATCTGAGCCCCTCAGAAGTATCATCCAGGGCTCAGATTCTTCCACAGCTGCCTATCCATCCGGAACATACATCTCTCAAGACAGCTTGCCCGTTTTCCACCACCCGTGGATTCTACCTTGGGTCCACCAGCTCAGTGCTGGACAGTGAGTGGCAGGGATCTCTGGCACCCACCTCCTTGCGGGCAGGGTCCACACCCTCCGGCAGGTCCTCGGCGGCCTGGTTCATCAGCCGTTCCCGGGGCAGGCTCCCGTTGACCGTGGAGCTGGTGCCAGTGCTCGTGCGACTGCCACCTGTCTCACGGCCTGGCGTCATCTCGTTCTCTGAGCTGTCTCGGGAGCCCGTGAGGGCCTGTGGGGCTGGGGGACCTGCTCTGCCATTGCCTGGCCATCTGGATAGCCGGAAGTTGTTGACTTCCTGTCCAGAGAAGGTCCTCAGGCTGGGAAAGGTGGGGAACTGGCAGCCCACAGGAAGCCTGCACTGAGCCTACTGGCCTGCCTCCAACTGCAGCGCCTCCCTCCTGCCAACTCCTAGTCCTCTCCCTGTAGGCTCTGGACCATGTGTCGGAGCCCAAGCCACTGCAGGGAAGTCCAGGGGCTCCAGGACTCACCACAGTTATCTCAGAGATGGCAGATGCTGCTCCCAGGCTGCCATCTACTGCCTCCTCATAGGATGGGTAGTTCTGGGAGCAAGAATCAGGGCAAGTGTCAGGGCGGGGGTAGGAAGTGGGGACACTGGTGAGACCCGGGAGGGGATCTGAGGACAAGACCCGGTCTCTCACACTGGCAATCCCCAGCCAGGCACCACCTCCTCCTTCAGTTGACCCAGGGCTGACCCCTCTCCCCCAAATAAGGGCAGGGTTGGGGGATCCCAGGCCTCACTCACGGTCCACTTGTAGGGGTCCCAAGTGAAGAACCATCCGGTGAAGGTGGGAGGCTCATGGCCCTGCTTGACCAGCACGATGGGTGTGGCCAGGCTCCTCCCTGCCGGATGGGCCATCAGGTACTCTCGGCCCCAGGCCACTGCCTCCTTCTTCCACTCACTTGCGGCTTCCCCCAGCCATAGGAAGATCTGAGCCATAGAGGGAGCCCGGCCTTGGGCAGGTGGAGGGGCTGCCCAGAGCTGGCCGCCTCCTACACGCTTCCTGTCCATCAGATGCCCGGAATCCCATATGTACATCCCTGGCCAACCAGACACACCCAGCAAGCCACCATACCCACATGCCCTTGGGTGCACAAGGTCACAATCTACAGATGCTTACTGAGCACCTGTTGTGTGACAGGCACTGTTTTAGGCATCGGGGATCCAACAATGAAAAAAGTTAAAAATTCCTGCCCTTACCTCATCAACAAGGGTACCTGCATAATCAACGTTTGTATACCTAGTCCTGAATTGTACCCCACATCTCTATTAAAAAAAAATTCCTGCCCTTATAGAACTTTCATGAGGGAGCAAGTCATGTGTCTGCCTGGGGGGAAGGTGTTCTAACCAAAGGAAACAACCAGGGACAAAGCCCTGTGATGACAGTGTCCCTGGCACGTACAAGGAGTACAAGGAGGCCGTTGTGGCCGAGGCAGAACCAGCAAGGGGGAGGAGGGAGAAACTGGGTCAGAGTCGGGGCTGGCCAGTCACACGAAGCTGTGGTGAGGGCTCTGGTTTTATCTGGATGACAGGGGAGCCCGCGGCCTCATCACCAGTTCAGGCGGTGCCACAGCCACAGCTCCACACATACACAGTGACACAGAGGCACACATGCTATCACAGCTGCACAAACAGCTATCTGTTGTCACACAGCCAGGCAGCAAATCACAGCCACACACCGACATCACACACACGGGGGCACACAAACAACCTCACTAGGTTACATAGCCGCACACACCCAACCAGTTACACTACTGCACACAGCCACAGAACGTGATAACACAGATCCACAAACAGTCACTCAAACCCACAACAGGCCACATAGTCTCTCTCACACCCACACGGTCTCACTAGTTGCAACTGGTCTGGCCAGTTCTAGCATCATGTGATGTCACAGACACTGAGAGGGTCAGTCACACAACGGTGTACACGAAGGCAAAAACACAGAATCGGCATACACACAGATGTGATCAGACGTTTCACTCAGTCACTCAGGTAACACTGATGCATGCTCAGTCGTGGGCCCTCAACCCCACACACACTGGCATACGGCAACACACAGCTGCAAACATGATCACAGCCACCTGTGAGTCCCAACACAGTCTCCCATGGTCTCCCTGCTGCCACCCGGTGATACCAACTCATCCATGATCTCACACCTACGGCCACACAATTTCACAGTGATTACGGTCACTCACCATCACACAGACTCACCCACAGCCCTATGTACAGAGTCAGATGTCTAGGTGCACACACTCAGTTACACAAACAGAGACACCTCCCCATTCACAGCCCAGCCGGGCAGCTGGTGGCCACCTTACCTCCTGCCAGGTGTCCAGTAATAGAATGTCATACTTGTCCAGGTCCTCTTGGCTAAAGAACACCACTTCCGTGAGGACCAGGCAGCCCATCTGGCTGTAGCACTCAAACAGTCGTGGCTGGAAGCTGGAGCCCTCCTCGGGGAGCCTGGCCGGCAGGGACAGTACGGCAGTGAGGGGTTCATGGAGGGCCATTGCTGTGGCAGCCTGGGTCATGCCAGCCCCCAGCACAGCACCCACCCAGGGCCTGGAAAGAGGCAACTTCTCAGGAGTAGGAGGCCTCATTCCTCTGAGTTCCACCCATGTCTCATTCACTCCGGGCAGATCCCCTTATGTCCCTTGAAGAAGGCAGATTAGCCCCCGCCAGCTGTGACACAAGCTGCCCCATGAATTTCCCCAGGAGTGGGCCTCACGGGTAGAGGCGGGCCTGAGTTGGAGTCTCACCCTCCCTCTGGTGGGAGAAGGTCCTGGGTCCACCCTGGCTGGAAGCCCAAGGTGAGAGGAGGGAAGCCAGGGTGGGAGAGGGGGACAGTAGTGTGCATGTGAGAGGGGGACAGTAGTCCTGAGCTTAGGAGACATAGGGGAGTGCAGCATATAACCAAGCCCCCAGATAGAGCATCCAGGACTCAGCTCCCTCCTCGCTTTGTGGCCTCACCATGCCCTAGCCTCCTATGCACGATGTGTCCACTTACACACCACCACACAACACACTGGTTGCACCTGTGCTTGCACGCTGCTCACACGTGGCATACCCACACGTCATAGGGGACTGTACACATGGCTCCGGGGTTGGGAATGGTGCTTTGTCCACTAGCCCAGGACCGAAACGATGCAGGGAGTAGATTCTGCCAGCAGAGGGCACCCCTACCCCGGCTCTCCCAGGCGTCTTCCTGACCAAGACGCCCAAGGGCTGGGGGTGAAGGGTGGGCTGTGCTCCCAGTTCTAGCCTGTCTCTCCAGCTCTCTGTGTGAAGCTTAATTACTCACCCACCCTCCCTGGTCCTCAGTTCCTCTCTGTGTAAGAGCACTCTCCTCCCAATCCTATTACCTCTTAATGATGGGGTAGGGGGCCCGGCCTCCCAGGGCCTCCCAGAACTGGGGGGGCTCCTGACCCTCCAGCACCGTTTCTTCATTCTTCCCAGAGACAACAGTGGCCACCGCCCGTGCCATCTCACGCTGGTCACCGTTACAGCCCTGGCAGGCAAAGAGCTGGCTCAGGTCCTGCAGGGAGTGGAGACTTCACCTCCAGTCCCACATTCTGCTCCTGAGGGCTTGGGGGGGGCTGAGTCACAGGTGGCCTGATGAGTCAGTGGTGGGCACACATGAGCAAAAGGCTCTCTCTTTCACCCTGCAGGCCCCAGGCTTCCCACTGAGAGGGTCTGGGATCCTCCCTGGGTCCAAAGTATGAAATGGGGATCCCCAGGCTAGGGGGCCATGCACACTCTATGCTGAAGATTAGAGAAAACTCCAGCAAACTAGACTAGGCCTCCCCCCTTTTCCCAAGAGACTTGGAAGGGGAAATGCCCCATATTCAAGACAGTGAGGAGGTGAGGTGGACTGGTCTGGCCTGACTTTGACCTGTGGATTTCCAGGTCCACCTGTCACTTAATAACTTTCCCCAAGTTCAAGAGGGAACACTGTGGTTTCTCGCCCTCTCCCCTGACTTTCCTAAGCCTATGTGAGGCTGGACTTGAGGTCTGCATCCCCTGTGGAGGGAACCCATCCCCAGCCTGGCACCACTGCCCTTGGTCAGGAGTCAAGTGGTCAGTGATGCCTGTACCTTCCCAAACCAGAGGTAGCAGACGCCGGCTGTGACCAGCAAGAAGACATCGCTGGGGTTGAGGGATGAGGCACGGGCTGGCACCTCCATGGTCCTGGTGTTGTGGCTGTCGGTGCCTCGCACGTGAAAGAGCCTCGTGGAGGATGCTGGCTGCCCCTTTCCATGGTGCCCAGCGCTCCCCTACAAGATGGAGGGACCTCAGGTTGGGGCAGGAGCTCCTGGGGGCTGCCTCCCTGTCCCAGTGGGGGACAAACTACCTCAAGGCTCAGGAGCCCCCCCTGTGAAACCACCACCATCTTCTGGACCCTCTGAGTGTGGAGTGTGAGGATCCCATCAGTCTGGGATGGGGAAGCAGGGCCATTCTAAATGAACCCTCACCCTGTCTCTGAGGGGTCAGGGCATGGCTGCCCAGGCCTTGAAGGTGGAAAGTAGGAACCAGTTTTGCCTGCTAGAGACCCCAGGTAGGTCCTCAGCTCCCTTTTGACTCAGTTTCTTCACCCGGCTCTGGGACTGGGGAAGAAACAGGCGGGGACGCACCTTGGAGCTCCTGGGCCTTGGACAAGCACCAGGAAACCTGGGATGGTCAGCTGGGCCCTGGGGCCTGGAGAGAAGGTGTTCAGCAAGTGTGTATGAGGGCGAGGCTGCCGCCAGAGCATGAGGCAGGCCTTACCTGGAAGACCACCAGCTGGCCCCGGAAGATGGTGAGGAAGTGCGGGGGCTCACTGCCCATGGTCACGTGCTCCTGCACTAGGGCTCCACCGTACTTGAGGTCCAGCTCCTCAGCATTGTGGCTCAGGGACTCCATCTCATCTGCCGTGGCCCGGTGGCCCTGCAGGGGGCACCGTGAGGGCCTCGTGCAGCTCCCAAATCCCACACTCAGATCCCAGTTCTTGAGCCTCAGGTGTGTGCCACCCCCACCCCCCCAGGCTGGCACACCTGCCATAGGTACAGGAGATACTGGATATGGCCCAGCTTCTGGTATGTGTAGAGGACCAGGTAGCAGTGGCCAGCACACAACTGTCCGTGACGCTTGGGGTCCACAGGCTGCCTGTGTGAGTCCTGGATGCACCACACCTGGGAAGAGGGGCCATCAGGCACAGCTGGCTGCTCCACCGGAACCAGCCCGCCCATCTGGCTCCCAGCCGAAAGCTCTCATCAGCGTGAGCCAGGGGCTCCCTCGGTTCTGTGCCCACCCATGCTTCATGCTGGGCTTGTTCAGAGAACTGCAGGTGACCCTTTCCCCAGGGACCCTTGAAATTCATCGCCCTTGCGCCAGCCTGCTCTCAGCCAGGACTCTAAGTTTGTATGTGGCACCTGGGGTAAACAGTGGTGGAGACTCCAGAGAAGGCAGAGATGGGCCCAGCTCCTGCCACATGCTCATCCCCAGGTCGGATCCCATCAGCCACAGCCCTGGTTAGGGGCAGACCGGTCCCCTCACAGCCACTCACTGCTCAGGCTGGGACAGAGCTCTCCTTCCTTCTCTCCCTCCCCTCCCCTCCTCTCTGCTCTCCAGTCACCCACTCTCCTTGTCTGGTCTTCTCTGACCAGATTAGATCACAGTCTTCGCCCCCATTTTATAGATTAAAAGGAATTAAGGGCTCTGCCTAGGAGTCAGCCAACAAGTCAAGATGCAATCCTACCCTGTACAAAGTCTGGAACGCTGGTCTGAGACTAGGTGAGTGGTTGACAGTGGATGTCTATGTGTTGGGGATTGGGTGTGTGGGCCTGTGACTGATTATGTGTGCTTGTGTTGGTGTGTCCCCAAGGGTTGATGGTTGTGTGTGACTGTGGTCGTGTGTGATGTAGTTTGTGCAGTTCCATGTTTGGAGTAGTGTACTTGACTATGATTGCGTGGCTGTGACTGTGTGCAATTACAAGGTGTATGTGTGTATCATATGTATGATTTTGTCACACACATGACAACAGGGCATAATTCAGTGTCCAAGTGTCACTGTACCGTGTGTTATGTGAGTGGCCATGGCTGTGTATGATTAGATGTGACTGTGTATGAGCCGCTTGTTGGGAAGGTGTTGTGTATATATGTACATATGTCCCTGGGTGTCCCTGATTGTGTGTGAATACATGCCTGGGTCACTTGAGATAGCAGTCATACCTAGAGGCAAAGCTCATCTCTGCTCATCTTCCCCCAGCTAAGCCAATCCTCTCACCTCCACCTTCCCGGAGCCATCGTCCACCATCCTGAGCTGGGCCGCTAGCTCAGGCTGGCTATGCAGCTTGCCCACGTCCAACTTCGCCTGAATCAATTGACCTTAAGGTAGGGCAGAGGGTATCAGTGGAGCCCTCTGTCCCACCCCCATGCCCCGT